ATTCATTGTTTGTGCATAACACCCAGTGCTCCACGCAGAATGTGCCCTCTTTAATACCCATCACCAGGCTAACCCATCCCCCCATCCCCCTCCCCTCTAGAACCCTCAGTTTGTTTTTCAGAGTCCATTGTCTCTACCATAAGAGACTCTTAATCATAGGAAACAAACTGAGGGTTGCTGGAGGGGAGGGGGTTAGGGGAATGGGGTAACTGGGTGATGGGCATTAAGGAGGGTACATGATATAATGAGCACTGGGTGTTATATAACACTGATGAATCACAGACCTGTACCTCTGAAACTAATAATACACTGTATGTTAATTGAATTTAAATTTTTCAAAAAATGTCAAAAAGAAAGAAAGAAAGAAAGAAGAAAAAGAAAGGAAAGAAAGAAAGAAAGAAAGAAAGAAAGAAAGAAAGAAAGAAAGAAAGAAAGGAAGGAAGGAAGGAAGAAAGAAAGAAAGAAAAAGAAAATGAGGCTTAGAAATGGTAAGTAACTTACACAAAGTCACCAAAGAGATTAGGCCAGGGCTGGCCCATGTTCTTACCCACCAAGTTATGCTCACTTTTACTTATTTTCTGAAAGACCTTTTCATTCCTATAGCCAGGGTCCCCAAATGCCTTTTTAAAATTTGGCACCTGTGAGTCAGCAATGTCCTTTCTCCCTATCCCACCTGCCTTTCTGAGCATGTGAACTTGTCAGCAATCCACCAGCTGGCCCAGAGTTTGGTTCAACTGAAAGCAGAGAAGCTCCCTGCGTGGGATGCAGCCTGAGCCTCACAGTGCTTACCATCGTATGTCACGTAAGGGACCTGGAAACCTCTGGCACTGTTCCCTTCATTGGACTTGAACTGAATCCACAGCTTCTTTGATCTGGAGGTGAAGGCGATGGGCCGTTCGTAGGTCTGGCAGGTTTCATATGTTGTCACAGAATTGGATGAAGCTGCCAAGGGAAGTTGGAGGGGGGTGGGCTTCAACTCATCCTGAGCAGGCAGACAACAACACTCATCTTTTCAAATACACCATACAACAAGTTATGCTCAAGAGCTCTTCAGGCCCAGCTTTGCCATCATAGGGGCCAAAGCCCTGGAAATTGAGAGGACTCAGCTGGTGATTGCAGGCCCCCAGGGCAGGCTCACTGAAAGGCCCAGGGCTAGACATACAGCAGGCCCCAGTGCTCCAGAGCTACCTGCTGCCATCCAGTAAGAACCACCACCAATCCCCGCGGGCTTCCTAAGACCAGGTGGGGCTGGGCAGGGTGCGCTTTATGGACCTTATCTCACTTAACCCTCTGAAAACCAGAGAAGTTTGTGCGGCTGACTTCAGACACTGTAACCACTAATCAGAGTGGCAAACACATCGTGGCTCTGTGTGTCATTATTGCTCTCAGTGCTTTATGAATATAAACTTGTTTATTCCTCATGATGACTCTATGAGGTAGCAACTATTATTATCCCCATTTTAACAGACAAGGAAACTGAGTGACAGAAAGATCCAGAATGTATGTCCAAGACCACAGAACTAACAAGAGGTAAAGCTGGGTTCAGATCCAGGCAATCTGGCTGCTGGGCCCACTCACTACACCGCTTGGAAGTTGTGTTGATGGCAGTGTCTCTCAATGGACCCTGGGTCATGTGCCAAGATGGGAGGAGGGTCCCTCCTGGCTGGACTAAGACCTTAGCCTTGGTCAGTCCCCAAGCCCAAGTGGCTTCCCATGGTGAAGCAAGTGTGTGGGGCAGCCCTCCATGAGCTTCATTGGCTCCCTGTGACATTGTGGAAGAGGGTCCCTGGTGAGCCCAGAGGGGAAGACTGGCCTGCAGAATCACTACCTCTGGGGTTCAGCGAGAGGCCTCAGGGTGGGTCTTTGTCTAAATTTTGTTTCTTAGCAAATGCTATAAACTCATGTCCCATCTCTGTTCTGATATGGAGGTGCCCACATTTAAAGCTGGGAAGCAGGCCAGCAGGCTTCCCCACCAGCCTTAGAAGGAGAGGGGGGGCAGAGGGAGGGGACGCACAGGTTTTCCGCATCACCAGGTAGTCTCCACAGTCGTCTTCTATGGGCAGGAAGATCTCAGGAACCACAATCAAGATTCGGCGCTTAGGTGGTGGGTTGATGGTCCATGTACACTCGGTGTTGGCTGGGTAATTGCCTGGGTAGTTTGGGGATTCAATGTATCCGGTGAAATCTCCCAGCTCCCCTCCACATCTTCTGTCTGGAAGGGGAAATGCCATGAGTCATGAAGGCACAACACTGTCATCACTCCACGATGGCCACCAGCAGCTCAGCTGATGAAAACTGTTGTATCCCTGTTGCCATCAGGGCATGGGGCCTGCAGATGGCACCACCGTGGAATTAGTGTGTCCGGTAATGCCTAGCGTTCCCATGGGAGCCCAACTCTACTAACTCCCCACACAGAGCTCACCCCACTGAGTCCCCCTCTGAGTAACCATTTTCTCATTAACTTGAAGGTGATCCTGAGCAGGCCTTAGTGAAACAAAGGACAACTCTGTTTTCAGTATTTTGTTTACAAAGTCTAAGTGCCAGGGGAACCCATGACATAGAACTTCTAGGTCTGTCAAAATAGGAAGAACAGAGCTTACTGCGAATTAGAGGGTATTTGACCCTTTCCTAGAGAACTTGGATGATTTCATGATAGTCATATTCTTTCTCTTTTCTTTCTGGCCAAGACCACATTTTATTTTTCGTGTGGAAGAGAATTCCAATAGGGTATCAGCCAATTACTCACCTCTGGCACCAAAAGCAAGGAGTGCATGTATGCGCGCGCGCGCGCACACACACACACACACACACACACACCCCCAGCTCACCGTATCTTCATTCATTGACTCTCCACTCATCCAACAAATGTTAGCAAAATCTCTGGGGGTTCAGAAATGAGAAAGACACAGTCTTTGCCCTCAAGGGGCTTACTGTTTAAAACTGTCAGGTGAATGTGTACAAGAGAGGATGTTGAAGGGACTTTTTCCTCTCTAATTGTAACTGGGAATTATTATTACCATCAGAAAAAATAAACAGGCTTTTCTTCTTGGAAGGGGGTCGAGTGGGGAGAGCCATGGAGCTCAGAAAACTGCCTTCAGGACTGAAGGACCACCTGAGGATCTGTGCCATGTGGCTCCTAAGGGCCGACCAAGGGCCAGGGATGGGAGGGCAAGGAAACAGATTTCAACTGGGTATCGGGAATAATTTTCTTTCTTTCTTTCTTTCTTTTCTTTTCTTTTCTTTTCTTTTCTTTCTTTCTTTTTTTTTTTTAAGGATTTTATTTATTCCTCATTGGCAACCCTGTTGGGACCCCTCTCATTCTTGAGAGCTTTTTCTGTATCTTTACTTAATAAACTTCTATTGCTTTACTCACACACAAAAAATATTTATTTATTTGAGAGAGAGAGCATGAGACAGGAGAGGGTCATAGGGAGAAGCAGACTCCCCACTGAGCAGAGAGCCTGATCCAGGACTCGATCCTGGGACTCCGGGATCATGACCTGAGCTGAAGGCCTTCGTTCAACCAACTGAGCCACCTAGGCGCCCAGGGAAGAATTTTCCAACACTGAACCTCAATCCCAAATTCCTCCAGTGTGGGGAGACCTCCTTGCTCCCCTACACCTCTGTCTTACTGACAATAGATTAGCTGCGATTTACTTCTAACATTTCCTGGAGAATTTTACATAATGATTAAAAACCAACCAACCAGCCAACCATGCGGCAAGTCCTTGAATGATCTGCTTCCCCATTCCTATAGGATACAAATCCAAATCCTTCGTGTGGCATTCAAGGCCTCCCTCCCTGATCTGCCTCAGGTTCCCCTCAAACATTGCATGATCCAGGTCCAGGGGTCTCTTCCCAAAAAGCCTTTCACTTTTCCTAGTCTGTGCTTTCTTGCAGCTGTTGTCTCAGGTTTAAAGTTCTTTGTCCTGCTCTCTCCCGTGCTCTCCATCAAAACCTTCACATGCCCTCCAGAAGCCTTTCCTCATCTCTCCAGACAGAACGAATTGCTCTTTCCTGGGCAATCCCACAGCCTGTGCTATCTACAGGGCCAGGGACTTACTCTGTTTGCAGTGTCTAGCATGTGACAGGTCCTCAAACAATGTTTGCTGAACAGATTTTCTGCCCCTGGGAGGAAATGTCAGCAAGTATAGCCTATCAAGGTGCCTAGAGAAGCAGCCAGGATCAACGCAGTTGAGTACCTAGGAGCCAAGCCTGGCTCTCCTTTAGCGCCAACCTCGGGCACCGGGAGCTGGGCTAACAGTGTCCTCATGGTTCTCAGTGGCCGTGGGACACCTGCCCCAACCCTCCCAGCGTCAGGTGGACCCAGGTACTTTCCTCTTGGTCAAGACTGTGAAAGCCTTAGAGAGACCTACCTTTACACTGGGTTATGTTCGTGGAGCCATCAAAGTCAGTGGTAGTATTTCCTGGGCAAGAAACACAATTATTTTTTCCAAATTCAGGTTGATATGTTCCTGCTGGGCAGCGAATACATCGGTGAGTGGTGGTGTTGTAGAAATGTCCGGGTGAACACTGAACTGTGGGGTTGGGGGAGAGTGGAAAGAATGAAAAAAAAAAAAAAAACTATTTTCATTACCGGTCACATAAAAGTTTTCACAGTTCGTGAAATAAATTTGTATGCCCAAATGAAGTCTTGCTTTCCTACTAATCTAGGGCTAATCAACACTTAACTCCCTAAATAGCCAGCTTGGGTGGACTTGTGACTCATGACACTGAGAAAAATACAAAGGGAACAAAGTACGGGTGTATCTTCAAAGCGTTTACAGAGCATGCAGTCAGGCATAAATGAGCACAGCCAAGGTTTTCATGCAGAGCACACTTGTGGGTTCTGAGCTTGCCAAACGGATGCCCGGCCTGGGATTGGGCCCCTGGGGGAGGTGGCGGTGGGGCTCTGGGGACAGGTAGGACCTATATGAGAGGGGAGCTCCAGGGGAGGGGCCTGGGATGGAGGAAGGCTGGAAAGAAGGAGCCAAGAACCTATTGCACAAAACCTGCTCACCTCTCCCAGACCAGTCGGCCCCATCTGCAGGGGCCCAGGTGGCTGGGGGAGAACACATCTAGGGAGTTCCCATGCTCCCCGCACTTCCTGCAGGGGCGGATGGAGCTGGGCCCTGACCTCCCACCACCGGGATACCACACCAGGCACCTCTGGACTGGGCTTGATCGGAGCTTTACCAGACTCCCGTGGTTCTCAAAAGGGAAATTCAGTTCTGGAAAAAGGCAAGCTGCCAAGTCCTCACCTCTGGTTTCGCAGTCCTGGAAGGAAGTGGCTCCCAGGTGTTTGGTGGGGAGGCCTCCCCCACAGGGGAAGCAGGAAGTTCGGCCAGCCTCAGGCTGGAATGTGCCCAGGGCACAGAGCTGGCAGGGTGCAAAACCATCTGCAGAATATTCCCCAGGTTGGCACAGACCTGGGAAAAACCGATGACCCTAAATGAGCAAGGCCCCCGGGGCGGACCCCTTCCCATCTCTCTGTCGATGAGCTCAAAATTTGATCAGACCCGTGGCCCCATGCTGACCTGGTCTCCCACCTCAGTGAGAGAACCCCTGTCCTGCCCCACCACTGCCCCTGAGCAGATGGCATGTGAGCGCCTGATGTTTACATGCAGGGCTACAAAGCACAGGGCAGAGATGGGAGACCAAGGAGCCAAGCATTAACAGCTTCCACCGTAGGCACCAGGCCTGGGTTTGCTTAAGGTTGAGGACTCCGCAGTGCCCAGCCAGTGCCTGCAATGCAGGAGCCCCGAGGGAGGCTCCTCCGCTCTGGAATCAATCTGGTAATTCAAGCCAGAAGTGCATCCTCACCCAGCTGACTGTGTCCTAGTGATGTCATGGAAGAGTCTCCCTGTTTTATCAGTTCTATTTACTAAGTCACATCTCACACTAAAGTGTGTCCCAGCCTCCCTCTACGAAATCCAACCAATCTAATCCACATTGATAGAGGGACCCAGTGGCATTTACTTTAAACACCTTACTTCAGTACTTTTTAAGTTTATGACAAGAAGCACAGCCATAAACAAAAAGATTTCTAAAAGCACATGTTCCTTGGCATTAGCTTGTCACTGCCAAGACGTTATAAAAATCTGTTGTCTCTTGTACTGCTCATCATCTCTCCCTTATTAAATTTCATGGTCTTCTTTCTACCCATAGGCAATAGATATAATGGCATTTAATGAACACACCCCAAGGGAAGAGTCTGGGATCTGTTAGACCTACTACATTCTGATTCCAAATCCTTCACTCTCTGTGTGACCTTCAATGACTCACTTTAGCCTCCAAAAGTTGTTGTAAAGTTACAACCATAGGAGTAATTCATGTAATACATTTTGCATGATGCCTCGCATAGGTAAGTATTCAATAAATGTTAGCAATTGTTATTATTACTAGTATTATTATTACTATAAATGTATCTTAATAAGGTCACATACAAGTGTAAGTAGATGCCCTAAGTGCCTCCTTATAAGCCTTGCAGTTGGTCCGGGGGGAGGGGAGGGGCAGAGGGAGAGGGAGAGAGAATCTCCAGCAGACTCCCCGCCAAGTGTGGAGCCCAACACAGGGCTCCATCTCATGACCCTGAGATCATGACTTGAGCCAAAATCAAGAGTCGGACACAACCGAAAGAGCCATCCAGGCGCTCCATGACTTTTAAACCATTTGAAAGGTCCTGCAGTTGAGTCTGGGGTGGTGTAGGAGGGAACTAAAGCTAGCACTGGGAGTCACTGGGAAGAGAGGGAGGGGCTGCAGAGCGTCTCGTGCTCTGTGCCGTGGACGTCACCTACACACCGCAGTGTTAGATCACACCTTCTCTTTGAGCCCACAGAGCATCAGTACAGCTGGCCCTTCTTCCATTTAATGAAAGTAAGACATTTGTTAATAAAATAAATAGGAACCACGCCCACAAAACTTAAGTAAGCTTGGCTCCAGAGTTAACATTTTATAAGGGACATTAAAAACTCTTCACAGAGTTCTAACAAAATAACCAGATGGATACTCTTTAAAAATCAATAAGGTATGAATTTGAGACCAAAGTTGGAAAAATAATCAGAACTACTTTCTCCATGTTAACACTTGCAGATAGCTCCTCGTACACTGGGAGATCACTCAGGTCTCAAGGTATATTTAATTACAGTGAGTACAGATTGCAACAGCAACACTTACACCTTTTCTTCTGCCAATGTATTCTATCAGCTTTTCATTTATTTGTTCAAGTGAGCATCAGCCCAGCATGTGTTGGGCATGGAGGTAGGCACTGGAGAGCCAAAGATGAAGCCAATATGGTCCCTGCCCGTAGGAAGCCCACAGTGCAGTATGCACCGTTTGCACTGAAACACTACTTACCCTCTCTGTCTAAGTCATGTTGGAAACCAGAGGAATAAGAAGGGGCAGACGGAACACTTACCTCCACATTCGGATACATTCCAAGCTTCTGGAGTCTTCAGGGCTCCAGGATTTTCTGGTCTTGGGCAAGGTTCGCATGTGATTTGTCCTTCCTCATTTTGGAAGGTTCCATTTGGACACAAAATGCAACGTTCTTGTGCTCCATCATAATATGTCCCAGCCCTGCAACTGACTAGCCAAAGGGGGACACAATCTGGTCAGTGAAGGCACAAGAGCCAAGGAAGGATGATATAAGTGCTAGAGATAAAGGTAAAGAGATGGCATTGACCCCACGCTCCTCCACACAAACACCCTGAATACAGAATGTGTACCACCTTTGGGTCTTCCGTGTACACCTCTTGCCATGATCCCTGTCGCCCACTCTTAGAGGTGTTCACATGGTCCCTGGATCATAAGCTCCTTGGAAACAGGGATCACAGTGGTCCTAATTATTTTTGAGCACAAGCACTTGATGACTTTTCCTATTTCACAGGGCTGTCAGAAGGATTATAAAGTGCAAATCATTCATTGAACACAGGCCTAACGCTGAAAGAACAGAGAAGAGGGTGCTATTAATTCTGCCTGATGGCCTCCCTGAAGGCTTCCTAGAGGAGGCCACATTTGTGTGGGACCTTAAAGGATGAGAAGGATCTCTCCAAGAAGGAAAAGGGGCAGGTCATAAAAAGTCATGCATGACATATAGGAGGAGAAGGAAGAAAGGAAGGTTGGGACAGATTTTAAAAATTCTTGAATGCCACGCATTTGGGTTTTCTTCTTCGTCTGGAGGAGCCATTGAAAGAAGAGCCATTGAAAGAAGAGGAATATGACCAGAGCTGGGTCTCACTCTCTGGCGGCTATGGGGAGGGTAATCTCGAGAATCTTACCAATAAGCTCTCCAACACAACATGCTTCATGTTTATCATAAAGTTAATAGTTATGAAGAGTAAACCATGGTAAATGTCTCCCCAAAGAATAAACTATAAGGAAATCAATAAACTATGCTTCTGACTACATTTCTGGTGTTGTTAGTTAAATGTAGATTTATATCTCGTTTTAGAATATGAATATAAAGTAAATATGCTTAAATGGGTTCTCTAGTATCATATTCAAACATCAACATAACCATCAAAAGAGACTTTCTAATGGCTAACATTTACTGAGTACTTACAATCTCCTATTCACCATGCCAAAAGCTTTACATACATTATCTCAATTAACCCTAAAAACAACCCTAAGTATCAAACAACCCTAAGGAGTTAGGTGCTATTATTAACTCCATTTTACAGAACAGAGACTTAAGGATGTTAAATGATTTGGCCAAGGTCCCACAGCTAGTCTATGAAATACACCTACGGTGAGATTAAGAGCTTTGAATTTAAGGGGGAGAGAGGTCTCTAGCAAAAGTGCAGACTGAATCATAATTCAAGACTTTGCCAAGGATTCTCTCTGTGGCGTTAGGGGCGTCTGACTAGAATAAACACATTCTCTCTCATACTTAAGCTGCTGAGAGAAATAGAAATCAAAATATCACATGATAAAATTAGCTATTATATCTCTTTAATGTCTGTGAGGGGAAATATCTGTTTTCACGCTATCTGACGAATGCAATCTGCATATACACTTTCAGGGTTAAACATGGCAAAGTTCTCTATTACCATTAATAAAAGTGTCTTTTCATTATTCACTTCATAATCTAAAAAAAAAACCCCAAAACAAGGTTTTTTCTAAATCCTAATAAGCTAAAATATGCCACATTTCAAATACTAGGTCTACAATTAAACGCAATCAATCCATAAAGTTTACTCTAAAATCTAAATTTTAATACTTTTTTAGGTTGTTTGGATTGTCTCTTTAATATTCAGTATCATTTTTATTTAATTTTATCATATTAAAAAAAATTACAAGTGAACCAGACTCTTGCTTTCTCGGCAAACAACATAATGAGTCTGACGCCTAGACCTGTGGCAGACAGAGTCTAAAATTCCAGACCTAGTCTCTAAGTCTCTAAATGCAGCCTCCCTGGATAGTGTTTTCCCTGATGACTCTGGTTTCAGCTCATCTCCCATGAAAAGCGGGGCTGAATTATGAACTACGAATTCGTAGCTTCTTTTTTTTTTTTTTTTAAAGATTTTATTTATTTATTTGAGAGAGAGAGAATGAGAGATAGAGAGCACGAGAGGGAAGAGGGTCAGAGAGAGAAGCAGACTCCCCGCCAAGCAGGGAGCCTGATGTGGGACTCGATCCCGGGACTCCAGGATCATGGCCTGAGCAGAAGGCAGTCGCTTAACCAACTGAGCCACCCAGGCGCCCCCGAATTCGTAGCTTCTTATCCTGTGTCCCACCTGACTATCCTAGGGCCCGCAGGCCAGGAGGGAGAGAATAACTCCTTCCTGGCTCTAAGGAGTCAACTGTCGTGGAGGCTGGCAGAAGGTAAATAAAACCGAGGCTGTCCAGAGCCCCTCTAGCCAAGCCATTTCCATTTTTGTAATTCATTTGCCCAACGGGAAAACGCCAGATGACGGCAATGATTTCAAAGCCTCACTAACCATAACTTAGAGTCAGATCAGCATGGTCGTAATTCCTCTGGTGGAAAACGGGTCCCCTCCACGGGCGCACAAGAAAGGCTCTGGTTCTCCCTGGAAAGCTTAACTAGATGCGCTCCCTCAGCTCCAGGTGTCCGCTCACGTCCTTAGAACTATTTACACCCCCAAAGCCTTTTCGAGGTTACATTTTGAGAAGCTTCACAATGTCCCACATCTGCTGCAATTTTCCAACTGAGCAAAGGGCTGAGAAATGCCCCTCGGGCCAGCCTGCAGAAGGGAGGGTACCAGTTCTTTTTTTCTCCCCATGAAAGGCCTGCTTCATATAAACAAACTCATACTGTCGCTCACAGTTTCCATTTTCCTTCCAGAAAGACCTACAGAAATAATTCCTGCCAAGCACTTTCCAAATTAATTTGTTTCTTTCACAAGGTAAAAATGAGCTAAACAGCAAAGAGTGATTCTGAAGACATGCCTGAGAACTGCTTTTTTGC